TAGAATATACAAAATCAATAGTTTTGAACGAATTACCATCTGTAATTTTTAGTTCGCAACTGCTCATTACTGGAAGTGAGAAGCGAGATCAATCTTGCCTCATAAGCGGCAATGAAAGCTACAATGCCCAATTCAACTGAGTTGGTAAAATCGAGCATGCGACAATTGAATATTAGATCTAGAAATGGGCGATGTGTACTGTTTGCGAGTCACCGGTGTAGTTCTGATTTTATAGTAAATATTTTCTTGAGATACGTGAATGACAAATAGAAGCTTTCGTTCGTGCTGCGGGAATAATTTCGCTGTACTGTTTGCGGGAGTACCGCGGACAATATTCGTGAGCAGAATATCAAAGGAGATGTTAAGACGGAATTTTTGCTGTCGTCAAAATCAACCTGAATTTACTTATTATGGGCTTGATGGTTAGCACCCCTCGTACTAATTAATCTGCGACTTGTTGAGCAGGTCAGCGTTCCAGAGTTGGGTGGCCTATCGCCAAATTTCTACTACTACTACATGGCAGCTACATCTAAAGGACTTGGTCACAATATCCTGGCCCTCTGCGGTAACATGAGGAGTCTAATGGTATACATCTTGTGTATGTGGTCAGTTCTTATTTGTTGTCAATAAACTGTATATTACTTTGCAGTATTAGGTGTCGGCTGACACTCGGAGAGAGCTATATCTAAACGTCACACTCAGGGCGCACTTTTGCAGAGCTGAGGATGTAGCACTGTCGCACCATGGAAGCTCAGCAAGCTGTGCTACCTAGTACACTATAACTGTATTCTGGAAAACAGGAGATACTGCAGTGTGCATCAGTACCGACACATGAAAGATTCTCAATCTGTAACATCCAAGTCATGGAATGGACTGACTTGCAGGCGTTCTCAGCCGAGCACACGGCATCTTCAGGCAGAGAATTTGTGAACAGAAATTTCAACCGGCTCTGATTTTGGTCTAAATCGTTGGTCAGTTGATCCTTGTAGGACGATTATCACTTCATCACTTGGTAGCCGGTGTTAGGTATTTCCAATAAGTGCTGTGTTGCAGAAGTGTATGCAAGAGTGTCAATAGAAGAATGTGATTCAACTCGTCGTGTTTACAGTTACGCACACCAAGCTTAACAACACCGTCACAGCGAGACGAATACAGACCCCAGCTCAGGTCTACATAATTGCAAGCCAGCGCTGGATGCCTAAAGTATAAACAACCGAATAATTGCTGAGCACACATCAATTAGACATTTCGTAGCCGTAAAACTTTATATTCACATGCACAGAATCGCACACGCACGCATATACACGCATAACAGTATCATGAAAGCATTGTGTTTTCATTCAAGAATACGAACACAGGCAGATACAACTTACAGAGTGACGACCAAAGCGCTAACGGCGTAGGGATTGCGTAGGGATATACATACTACGTAGACACGTATACTGTATGAGAGACAAGAACAGCTTTCAAAAGAAGACATATACAAATGATTACACCATTTTCCATATGAGCCTATACACATGATTGAGATATAACTTTCGCGCTAGCTTCTCAGCACTTTAGATGTTGTTATACTATATCGCGCTTAACGATTAGTACCTTCTTCATGATGATGCCAGCTAAGATGCCCTTCCTCGTTACGAACACGAACGGCGATTTGAGCATAGAGAACAGGAAATGAACCTCCGTTAAGGGTGTATTCTCCACCACCTGAGGGATGTATGAACATAATGAAGGGACAGATTAAAACGGCAAGTTTTGAATGATTTGTGTGATTGATTAACTGTAACAGGCCAACCTGCGTATACTTTAAGTTACCCACATGAGGGCTAAGCAAACTTAAG